TACGATAATATATAGTTTAGTATATTAAGGTGTAAGTTGACTGGAATTATGACCTGTACAGGCTACACCAAGCTAGTCAGCTAGCTATCTATTATATAATTACAAATGTTTGGGTCAAAGTCAAAGTTTTCAGTGAACACTTCTGAAATTTCCTCACATGACCTCAAAATGAAAGTCCCTTTCGAAATCGTCGGTTAGTCTACGCGAAGTGTACGAGAAATCGAGGCTAAATAATTTCCGAATACAGAAACGCTTTTCAAAATAATATAATTTTGAAAAGTAGAAGCAAAGAAAAAGCAACTGACGAACAATGCTGGAGAATATCAAAAGCAAAACTCATACTTGGCCAGGTGTAGCACTTATTTGAATCAGCTAATTCCGGGAATCGCGTCGTTGAATAAAGTCATTATTAGTATCTTTGATATTGAAGTTAATATCAGTGTTATTTGTGAACAACTTTCTTTACAGTTCGCCCCATGTTAGGGAATCCGGAATCCGGAATCCACGAAATTTTAGGCTTTGGAATCCAGAATCCAGCACTCTGGAATCCGGAATCCAAGCCTTGGAATCCGGGATCCAGTTTTTAATGGCATCCGGAATCCACCCTTTTTTTGGAATCCGGAATCCGCTACTTTGAAAGTCTACAATCAAATGCTATCGCCTCGACCTAGACTGAACCGATGTAGCCCCTCTCCCACTGTGTAATATCTCCACCAAGAATATCTGTCATCAGATGCTGATTTAATTGATAGACGATTCTACTTATATTGGCAAGTATATCAAATATAATTTTCAGAGAAAGTATCTGAAAATAAACGATATGGAATCCAGAATCCGCAATACAAAAGTTTTGGAATCCGGAATCCACCATAAGTCCGGATTCCCTTACATGGGGCGATTACAGTGTATTACTTTTCTTGGAAATGACAACGTGACTATGACTACCATAAACCTGCCGTCAATACTTCTTTGGTATTGTCGTCTCAAAATCGCAATTAGTTTATAGTGTTTTAGAATATTTTTTTGTTTCAGAATATTCTAGTTTGTGTTTGATGTAATTTATTTTTTGTTTGACCCTATTTCCGGGGCCATTGTAGTTATCCACACTAGCTTCGCTTACCAGACTCAAAGCGCTCAATAACTAATAATAATGATAATACTTTATTCGGAACATTCTACAAAGTTTCAAAGTTCTAACAAGAATGAATAGGTATCACGGTACCCCTAGCGACCGGTGTGCTTTCAACTGTATATAGCGCAAAACCTTTTAATCAAAACCCAAAGTAAAGTATAAGTACACTTTCTTTTTGTCAAATATGTTAATATTTTAAAACTAGATCGAAGTATTCAAATTTTCACATAGGTCTCTTCGCAGAGTTCCACACGACAGCCGGTATTGATCGGAAACTAGTGCGTACTACCTTGCCGAGATCACGAGATATCACTCTTCAAAAGTGTGTCTCCTATTTTTGATAATTTGCTCTGTTGCTTTGTTCTGCGTTCCTAAAGTTACAACGCCACTAAAATAGCTGTATCCGATACAAAACTGAAGATAACTCAGGGAAAAAAAACAACAAAAATTTGACACAATCATTTTTGAA